TTTCTCTTTATAATGAACATTCTTGTTTTCATTATAAAATGGCAATTTAAATCTTTTTTTTTTTTTACCAAAGTAATAATCAAGCAGTACTAAAGGTTTTTAATGAAAAAACAGCAGTCTCCTTCCCTACTGTTACCCTAGGTTTTTCCTCAGAGGCAGTCACCCTCAGCTTTTAGTTGTTTTTCTTATTTGCTACCTTATACTTTCTACTGTTGTTTCTTGATTTATCAGTTTCTGACATTATATGTTAATTTCCTTAGGTAGCATATTAGGACATAGCTCTTCCATCTACCCCCCAATCCCTCTCCAACTGCCACATCCCCTGCCAACACAATATCACATTTTGGTTGAAATAGTTGTCATTATTTCATTATTATGACCATGGAAATGCTGTTCAATCCTGAGAAAAAGAGAAGCTATAATCATCCCTCCTTTCTTATACAACTCCTTATTTTCATGATATTAATAATTACCACATTTTTTCATTTGCCTAGCTTGCTGGGTTCCTATTATTAATTGTTCCCATATGTTCCAACATCTCTTCCACAGGCCTAAGAATAATATTTTCCATATGCTCAAATAGATCAGTTATTGTTCTTTCCTGCAGACTTCCATACTCCTATTCTACTCTGAATTGGTTATCCTCTAGGCCTGCTGAGCAAGGGAGACTTTTCTTTACTTCCCCTTCACCACTCTCCTGGTTTAGGCTTCCTAGTTGCTGAATCCCATATCTTCCTTTATCGTGGTTTAGCCCTTTATTTTGCTAGGGTACAGCCTTCAGTATCTGTGGGTAAAAAGTAAATTTTTTGAGACCTTAAATATATGAAAATGTTTTTATTTTACTCTTAACTTGATGGATAGCTTGGCCAGGTATAAAAATTTAATTTGCAAATAAATTTTCCTCATAAGTTTGAAGGCATTGTTCCACTGAGTTTTAGCATCCAGTAATGCTGATGCAAGGTCTGAAGCCATTTTTTTTTTCCTGACCCTTTGTATTTTGTATGTTATTGTTCTTCTCTTTGGAAATTTTTAGAATCTCGTTTGCCCATAATGTTCTGAAATTTCACAGGGATACTTCGTAGTGTGGATATTTATCTCATTTATTATACTTTATACCTAATGGGCTTTCAATTTGGAGTTTCATGTTCTAGAAAGTTTCCCTCAGTTCTGGAAAGTTTTTCTTGTTTTGTTTTTTTTTATTGGGGAATTGGGGGAAAGGGAACAGACAAGTTGCTCTCCTTTTGTTCTTCAGTCTAGTTGTGGAGGACGTTGCTTCACTGGCCCAAGTTGGCACCATCATTGCGCTCTTCCCGGGTGAGGCAGATTAGTCGCCGGCTTCTGGACGGCTGCTCATGCTGGCTGCTGGCTGCTGGCTGCTCACGCTGGCTGCTGGCTACACACGGTAGCCCATGGCAACCCATCTGCCATTGGCAGCAACTCACGGCAGCTCAGCTCCAAGTCGAGCTGTTGTTCAGCATCTTAGCTGTAGAGGGCAGTGTCACTGGCCCTCATATGTGGGATCCGAACCAGGGCCCTCTGGCGTCCCAGGCCAGCTCTTAACCAACACGCCACTCGGCCGGCCCTGGAAAGTTTTTCTTGTATTGTTACTTTAATCACTTCTTCCTCACTATTTTACATGACCCCCTTTTTTAAATTCTTTTTATTGGAATGATGAATCTCTTGGGCTGATTCTCTAAAACCTTTTCTTATCATTTTAAAAAATCTTTCTGGGAGATTCCCTTTACTTTATCTTCAAGCCTTCCTCATACATTTTTATGCCAACTTTATTATTTTAATATTTAAATGTTTTCTGATTGTTCCATTTTTTAATAGTATCTTGATCTTGTTTCATGGGTGCAAATTCTTCCCTTATCACTCTGAGAATATTAATTGTAATTGTTTTGAAGAAATGTTCCTCTTTCCTCTGGGCTCTTTTTGTTGTTGTTGTTGTTGTTGATTTGCTCTTATATTGGAGACTTTCCTTAGCTGCCTGATGAACTTTAGCTGTCTATTCATATTCAAGAGAGATACACTAAAAAGTTGTCAGAAAATTTTTGTACATAGTAAGGCTTGTTGATTAGTGGACTTCGTGATTGGGTGATAGGATAACAAGCTAGGTTTTTAGTGTGGTACCCTCAAATGTCACTCTCGTGGCATTTCTCTTAGGCCATTTCATTTTTCCAGAGAAGAATTCAGTGGTCTTCTGCTTGCAGTATGCTAAGCCAGACTTGAGACATCCTGAAACAGGGACAGGAAAAGAAAGTGAGCCTCAGTCAGCCTCTGCTTTACCTCCCCTGCACCAGACTTACTGGTCCTCTTGTGCTCTCCAGAGAGTAGTTCTCCAGTCTGCTGCCAGGAAGAGCAAGATGAGAGGAAGCAGTAGTAAGAGGGTTGCGTGCTGCCTGGGCAGGAGATACAGCTCAGTGGGAGGTGTGAGGGAAGCTTATCTTTCTAAATATAAACTTTTAGCCAATCTTTTTCTTTTAAACACTTCACTCTCTATAGTACCTTGTGCCTCCCACTACTAAACCTTTTCAGAGTCCAACAGGTCTAACAGACTCACTTATTATTAGTTTCCACCCCTCTAGAAACCCAGATGCTAGCTTTCTGTCTCTGCTAAATCACTTTCATCCAGTTTCAATCACTTTCTAGTTTCCAAAAGGTTGTTAAAATCTCTCCACTACTGTTATTCCCTCTCCTTGTTTCTTGGTCCTTATAGATTTATACCTTTTCAATTTCCTTTATTTTCAGTATCATGGCATTTTGAAGCTGATTTGTCATGTTCAACCAGAAGAATTATTATTAAAGAAAATAATTTTGACACTTTAAGAAACTGAGAATATGCCCCAGTTCCTTCACTTAGAAGCTTAATTTATTTCATATTTTGGGGGGAAGTATGACTCTTCTAAATATTTAAACTGCATATTTTGGCTACATATTTAAAATCACTACATTTCATATAAAGAAATGTCATTACTTATCAATTGTCAAAGACATATACTGTTGAAATTGGGTTCCAGAAATGGTTAGCTGGCCTGGCCTCAATCTTACACATCTTCTTGCCTAGTCTCTCTGAGAGTAAACATCAGCATTCGTAAGGCAGCTAAGTTTAGAAATTTTCAACACTATGGATTTATATTTCCTCACAAAGCCATCTCACTGGTATGGAAACTGACCCCATAAACTTGGCTTCTTCATTATTACCCTACCTCAACCAGCTAAGGTGACTGCTCCCAGAAAACAAATATTCTACTGCATTTCCTTCAGGATGATCTAAGAATTTGAACCTAGCATTCAAGCCTGACGCTGTATCTTGACTAAAGCAGGTCATCAAGCAAGTTTCTTTTCTCCTATGCGTCATTCAGAATTGCATTTTTATTTTTCTTCCAGAGTCCATATTCTTATAACTGAACTCATTTCCAGATTTGTATCGTATTTGAGTTAATTGACCTTGTAAACCTAACATAAATATAAACCAGCACATTAAACATGTTCTTAAACAGCAACCTCATTTGCTAAATAAGAAAATGGAGGAGGTTTCTACATGAGTTTCTCCAAAACCTTGACACTGGTGACAAGATACTGCAGGATGCCTTGGGATCTGCTAATCGGATCCAGCCCATTGCCTCAGGAGCATGAGCTGAATGTTGGCCTGCTCTGTAATTGGACTCTTGTGACCATCTGGCAGCTTCTGTGATATATTAGTGGCCTTGACCCAGTTTCTAATTGGCATGTATCAGCACAAATTGGCATGTATCTACAGCCACAAGATAGCTTAACTTTCTAAATAAGAGAGGTCATAATATCTTTTTTTCTTTAGCTATGATGCAATTGCCCTTTGCAGGTTTTTTGTTTAAACTGAGAAGAAGCTAAAATTTCAAGATTCCATGTTACTTTAATCTTGAGCCCTCTGAATCTACTTCTCTACTAGCTGAAACAGCGTCTAGAAACTGCGGATCCTGGCCTCAAGTCTTGAAGAAATTATGTAGTATTATTTCTCTCCCTCTGGCTTCGGGCCATAGACGTTCTTAATCTGCAGACTGTCCGCAAACTTTAATAGAAAGCTTCATTTGTAATCATTTTAAACAGAGCCAGTGGAAACAACATTGCTTTCGTTAGTAGTTTACCAGCTTAAACTGCGTACTCTCTAATTGTAATGGAAACTTAATCAAGGAAAAACTAAGAATAAGTTTTCACTTATTCTTTATATCTTACTTGGCAACTTGTTTGAAAATGTTGCATAAAAGATCCAGCACAGGAAACATTTTATATTCCTGCTTATGATTAATAAATATGGAATCTGAGGCATTCTACTTTATAAATCAAGGTCTTAGTCCAAATTTCCTGTTTTTCTACATTAAAAAAAAAAAAGACTCAGGGTAAAAATAGCACTCAACTGTGTAGGGTACTCCAGGGTCAAGGCAGCAGGCAAACTCCGTTCCTCAGTATACTATGGTGCTGAGACTGCTCAGGCCATCAGTACAAACATTCATTTTGTAGTCACTATAGGTAGGTAAGGCATTTGGTGCAGCCGGTTTCATAAAAATATAAGTAAAAATATCCTACTTCAGATTTTCTGGGCTTATTGAGAAAAGGAAATGGATAACAAAATAATAAACCAGCGACTGGGAAGTACGAACTCACACATTGCTAGTTCATGGAAAACACTAGTCACACCGGTCAAAGACTTCCTTATTGCATCTTAATTTTAATCACATCCATTTCTGTCTGTATATTACAAACCTGGCTACTGTCTTCAATCTTTAAGAGCCTCCTCCACCACCCCAAACATATATGCACTCAGACATTCTGACCTTTGTTCAAAGATTGTCCAGTCTGCATAATAGCCTACAGTGGGTCTCCCAGGATCTCTCTTTGTAGAATATTACAAAGATACTCTGAAGAATGCGTACATGGCAGTAGATACTTTGGGGTACATACCAATTTGTTGACAACTCATCATGCTAAGAGGAAACTTTTCTCATTTGTATTTTTTATAGCCTAAGGAATGTTTCTTGATACAACCAAAGGAAACAAAAGAAGAATCCACCAAGACCAGGAAGTGGAAAAAGGTAATATCAATAATTTTTTACAATGGTGTGGGCCTACATGTTTTCCTCACATTTTTGTATAGTGTACTTTAATGAGGCAATTATTGTAATCCCCACTTTAGAGATGCAGAAATTGTAAGATTCCTTTAGGTTTGGTGACTTTCCTAAGGTCACTTGTAATAAGTGTATCTGTTAGAGCTAAAAATAAATCCTTCTGATTCCTAGTTCCGTTTTGTGGAGCACTAAACATGATTCTTACCCACTCTGTGTTTTCACTATGGCTGGAAGTCAGACACGGGTTTCTAATTCTAGAAGGGGCCCAGAGCTATCCTGCCCTCTAGCCCATCTAGCTCTGTCCAAGGAAAGAAATTTACCAACCTTCTTTTCTGACCCATTTCAATTTTTAAAACCTTTTATCTTAGAGTCCAGCGGTTCTCAACCTTCCTAATGCCGTGACCCCTTAATACAGTTCCTCATGTTGTGGTGACCCCCAACCATAAAATTATTTTCGTTGCTACTCTATAACTGTAATTTTGCTACTGTTATGAATCGTAATGTAAATATCTTTTTGTTTTCCGATGGTCTTAGGCGACCCCTGTGAAAGGGTCATTCGACCCCCAAAGGGGTCGCAACCCACAGGTTGAGAACCGCTGTTTAGAGTATTAACAAAAAGAAATGAATAAGCAGATGAAGGTAGTATCAGGCATTTCTGACTCACATTTTGAACCATAATTTAAGGCAAAAGACTCCCCTTGCATTTTAATACTTGCCCATGAACATATGGAGGACTCTGTGGCTCCTATACAAACTTTCTTATGGCTCAGACTTGGAGAAAATGCGGTTAGCTTTGACCTTCCAACACAGTTGTGAAAACAGCAGTGTAATTCTCTCCCTGCCAAGAAGGGCCTACTGCTGAAGTCAGCAGAGGAAATATGATTGGGATTAGAGGAAAGAAGATGGACTCAAACCAATTACTTAACAGAAAGCTTTTAGAAAACTCAGAGTGTGTGTGCATATGTTTTCTTTGCTTGCAAATGGCCAAATAGGAAGATGGGAGATGCCAAATTGGCTGAGGTTTGGCAAGTCCTTAAAGAAGTAACTTTAACTTCTCTTTGATAGTTTGTACACTAATGGCCTTCAGGAGTGTTAAATTCTTGGTGGCTCAAGGTCAGAACTCTAGATAGTTTAGCCTTGGCTGAGGTCATGCTAAAATGTGCCCACTGATGACATATTTTTAAAAGTTAATTCATTTGACAGAACCTTGACCATGCTTGGCAGTGGTATAGAAATGAGGATATTGTGGAAGGAGGGGGTGGAAAAGCTGGTGAGGGGCGAAGGGGTGGCTCTTTCTGGATCTTTGGTGAAACATTAAGGAAATGAGAACGGAAGTTTATGATGAAAATTAAATGAATGGTTGTGTGTTCCTAGTGCATTACAGGCATTCAGTAAATGCCACACAAATAAGTCGAAATCAAAATAGATGTAAAGTATCTGCTGTTCTGTTTTCCATAGGGCCATTTCAAGACTATATCTCCCCGGACTTGAGAATTGAGGGTCTAAAAGTCTCCCTATTCAGTGGGTCCTTGCTCAGGTTACTCCTGCAGTTTTTACTTGAATCCCAGAAATCCAAACTGACAGTCAGTGCCCCAAAAACCAGGTTAGGCAACAAATTCGCAAGATTCTGCTCTCCCAGAAATACAAATCGTCTGAAAGAGGGGTTCATCAGCAACAAGATTTCTTGACTTTTAATAGAAACGAATACCCTGTTATGGAGACTCTTGCAAAAATGTCAGTTTTTTCTAGAAGTCCTAAACCAAGAGTTAGAAGGAGTCTTTTAGATCATCCATTCATTCTTCAAAGTAGTTATGTCCAATTTTTAAATATCAAGTTTTCTCAAGTGTGTTTATGAGAACTCACATTCATAGTCGGCTATCACCGAAACCTACATGCAGTTTGAATGCCAAAGGAATCGACTTATCCTAAGCCAAATACCATACTAAAATCTTTCTTCCCATTTTTTCTTTCTTCTTGTGTCTTAGAAGAAAATTACTGACATTCTTGCAAAATCAGAGCCCAAACCAGGGACACCTGAAGACCTCCAGAAGCTGATGAAGGACTATTACAGCAGCAACCGTTCAGTGATTGAATTAGAAGAACTAAACCTACCAGGTGCAACCAGGCTTCTTTGTTTTTTCCTTTTTTTTTTTTTTTCCTTACTATTCTGAGGTTAGTAAGGTTATTCAGCAGGACCCATTGTTCATGGCTGGTAATTTTCCTGATGAGGAGACGCAAAACAGATTCATGTTTCCTCTACTGTATGTTATGGCTAGTCATGTCAGCCAGACGTTAATATATTTCACCCATGCTAATACTCCTTTTCTCAACCTGGTAGTTTTAACTCTTGGGTGATTTCTTTATTAAGATATTAAATGGTATTTGTTCATTGTAGCAGAAAGATTTGTAATTGTATTTTTTATTCAAAAGACTAATTATTGGGTATGCATATTTTTCAGCGATTCTTCAAGAAGAATCTCTAATGAGGATAGAAGTTACATAAAAATAAATATAAAAGACACATTTCAAAGTCCAGATATGAAACATTAACTTATTCATCCTTTATAGACTAGAGTGTTGGCTTTAATAAGCAGCTTCATTTTGTTGTTCTTATAATGGTTTCTAATTATGGTTTTGTTCTTAGGGTAGTGTTTTGGGTCCCAGCCCAGACGTTTTCAAGCAAATTATGTAAAGATAGGGACAAAATTCTGCATTTTTAGCAAGGCTGATACCATGCCCCAGGTTCTTCAGCCTACTATTGTTTAAAATCTACTTAGAGTAAGTATAATTAAGTTAAAAGATATTGCAAAATTCTTAAAATAACATTTTAATTTCAAGACTATGATACATCTTGTAGCTCTTTTGAGCAGAGGCTGAAGAAAAGACATGTTGCTGTAAAATCAAGCCACAAACAGCTTGGGTACCACTGCCTGAGATGAGCTATTTATAGCCCATGAGGGATATCTAATACTGCTGTTGGAACACGTCAAGGGCAGTTTGATTTCCTTTTTCCATTACAACTTTATGCTTCCTAGAGGGTTGAGAAGCTGAAAAACAGCCCGCTCCCTGAATTTTTATAATTCCTCTGTGATAGGATTTTTTTTATAAAATGCGCGTCGGGTTGGAGACATGAGTGCCCCTGTCTGTTTCTTTTCCAAAAGGAATATCCTTCAGGGAATTGAAGGAGTGCCTTTCCATCTGAGCGAGATCTGGAGTTTGCGACTTCCTGAGCCCAGACGGCTCCAGCAGCAGTTAGAAACCACTCTTCTCAACACAGCAGCTCCTCTGGAGGAGAGCTAGGTCCTCACTGCTCCTTGTCAGGAAGCAAGTGTTACAACAAAGCCCCTTTTCAAGGTTTAACTGAAATTTGTTTTTACTGTGGCTCAGTGGTCAATTTTCTCTTCTAGTTTTTTTGTTAGTGTGTACCTTCAACTTTGGAAAGGCTGGTGAGATAACGGGACCCACGGCTACTATGTCACCTCGTGGACTATCATAAACCTTAATTCACTAGCACTGTAGAGAGTCACAAGTCAGAAGACACCTTTAAGAAGTCATTTAAGCTCTATCGTGACCTTACATCATATTATTGCTGTATTAGGGTTCAATAATACAGTTAGGCAAGAATGTGTGGTCAGGGTTTGGTTTAAGGAGGAACAAAAATTTTGTGAAGTATGTTAAAAAATACTGTTATAGCCAAAAAAGAACAGATTATTCATTTTAAGTTAAGAAATTAAGCCATTCTGAGACACAGTGAGTGACTGGAGGCACTATAGGAATGTTTTAGAGAAAAGGCCTGTCACTACAGTGATTACACCAAGGACCAAGGGGAAGCCTGTGCGAGGTGAGAGGAGGGACAAGCCATGGGTATTTGGAACACGCTCAGGAAGGGGCATAAATGCAAGGTGGCTCTAAATAATAAAATATCGTTCCTATTTCGTTTGCTGAGTGTCTAACTTGGTTTTGATTTGAGGCTGTTTGTGTCTGTAGGGCCAGGAACATGTCTTTTGAATTAATATTGTGCACTGTACACTGCTAATGTCATACACATGGCACTTAATTAGAGTTGCGAGGCAGGAGTCCCATGGAGCTAACCTGCTGTCCTGAGAGCTACAGTGTGCTTTAGATCAGGGCTAAAAGCCTTAGGCTAGCAAGCTTCAACTGAGTCACCCGGGAACTTACAAAGCCAATTCCCAGGCTCATCCCTAAGGAATTCTGACTCACTACACAAAAGGGAGTCCACCCCAGGAATCTATGTCTTTCCTAAAGCTCTCCAGGTGAGTCTGATCATATCAGGCTTGGGAAATTAGTTTTAAAGACCATCAAAGGCTCTGTAATAGTAGTATAGGAGGCCACATCTTTGAAGTTTGTTATTCACTAAATGTGAGTTACAAATGCTGGGTTACAATATAAATTTCATTTAATGTACTAATAGTTTACTCCCTAGCACACTGTTGTGTTTATAGAGAAACTTTTTCTTGTAGAAAGAATTAGGACAATAAACATAATGCTTTTTTTACACATCTCAGTTACAGAGTTAAAAATACTACATAGTGGCTAGACCATGATTTTCCTTGGTTGAGCAAACCCCTGTGTTTTATTTCAGTGTGTTACATCGTCTTTTATTGTGTTGTTGTGTTATGTCATGTTGTATTTTGATGTATTATTCCCACTCTTTCCTAATGCACACCCTTTTCCCTATAGGCGAGGCATTCAGTCTGTGTGAATATATGTTTTTAAATATGTATATGTTCTTGTAAATATATCATGTTGTTCTACGTGTGCACATTTTACAATTTATCTAAATGATGTCGTGCTGAACCTCTCATTCTGTTTCTTTTCTGACTTAACACTTGGTTAAGCTATGTCTGTATGGCTTTATGTACATCTACTTCAGTGCTTCTAATTGTTGCATCATGTTCCCATGATTTAGTCTATCACATATTCCTTGCCCATTTTCTCAGATACAGACACCTAGTTGCTTCCAGTTCCCCACGATCACAAATAATGCTAGGAAGAACATACTTGTGTATTCCTCTTTATATACCACACAGGAGTTTCTTTCCATTATTTACACAGGAATGTAATCTTGGGGTCATAGGGTGATGCACATCTTAATTTTATGACTTCCCAGAATAGCTATGCCAGTTTGCACCGCTATCTACAGTTCCTATGAGTTTCCATCACTCTACATTCTTGACAGCACTTGGTATTATACATCTTTCTTTCTAGCAGTTGCCATTCCAATGTGTGTGTAAAATGTTATCTCATCACTATTAATTTGCATATCTACAATGACTAGTGAGTTTGAACATCTCTACATAGTTTGTTAGCTATTTCAGCTTTGCCTTTGTGTATTGTCTATTCCATGGGTTTGAAAATAAAGATGCCTTATTAATCCATTGAATGATACAATAAGCTTTTATTTTACTATTCTAAGAAACTATGGACAGCTAAAAGTTTACTTGTTGCTGCTGCTGTTGTTTTAAATATTAGACAACACTTTAAAATATATAACAAGCTCCCAACTCACTAATGTTTTGCAACCTTGTTCAAGAATACATCATTTACATTTAATCTATTTTGATTATGTGTGTGTTTGCAAAATTCTCTACAAAGCATGTTTCTTATATTTCTAGACTCCTGTTTCCTCAAGGCCAACGATTTGACTCATAGTCTTTCATCATACCTAAAAGAAAGTAAGTAAACTATGATTAAAAAAAATTATTCACCAAGTTGTTATTATTCCATTAAAACATAAGGTCTGCTCTTTAAAATAAAAACTTTCAAAACTACATTTACACTCATAATTTTTTGCCTTATATGGATTTTAAATGGAAGTTTTATTTTGTTTTAGGTCTATCTTAATTTTTATTTATTTAAGTTTATTCTTGTTTTGCTCCTGCTTTGAGAGTTTGTGTTTTGGTGTCGTTTGTGTTTTATAGCACATTAGAAGTATTAGTCTAGGAATCCAGAGAATAAATGGTGTTCTAGTCTCAGTTCCCCACTAATTTGCTGTTTGACCTGAGACAAGTCACTGAGTCCTCCTCTGACTTGATTTTGTTATCTGAAAGATAAGGAAGTTGGACTGTGTGATCTCTGTTCCAGCTATAAGATTCTGAAATTCTGTTCATATCTTTGAAACTCAGGCCGTGGCTATTGCATAGTCAATCTAATTCAATCTTTTCTCTATATATTGTGTGTAGGCAGTAATAACTAGCTTATTCATACAAGGTAGTCATTTATTTGTAACCAACAGCAAAATATTTTAGATGTAGAGATATTTTGCATTCTTCTTTCAAACTCTATAATCAGTTCTGATGACACTCTACTTGAGTTCATAAACTTTTCTCAGCCTCAAATTCAGTAAATGTAAGTATTAGTAATACTAGAATCAACAACCTCACTAGATTATGAGAACTACGGTAAACAAAAGAATGTATGTAAGATGCCTAGCACAGTGTCAATGTTTAACAAATGTTTGCTATTATTTTAATGTCATTTGCATTTCATATCTTATGCTGTGCCACTTTAAAATGTAACATTATTGAATCAGAGTACTTTTTCTCATCAACATTGCTTTCAAGTATCAAACATAAATTAAAATATCACAAATGCATTATTTCAAGCTTTTTTATTTTAGTCTAAAACTAGTCACATTTAACTACTTGGCATATTACATATTTTGTGTTGTAAGTTAATGATATTTTATTTTACCTAAACACTAACGAAGAAGTAATTGTAGAATGCTCAACTTTGGGAGCCCTGTTTTGCTATATTTAGAATAATATTTTTCTTATGGTCTTTTTTTCAGTCTGCCCTAAGTGGGTAAAACTTCGGAAAAACCATACTGAGAAGAAATCGGTCCTGATGCTGATCCTCTGCAGCTCTGCCGTCCGAGCCCTGGAGCTCATTAGGTTGGAGTCTTCACCTATTCTATTTTGTAAATGTTTTCTGAGTGATGGACATCTGCCAAGTTGATACATTCTGTATGCTGGAGATGTAGCAATGAACAGAGTCCACTCTCTCATAGAAGTTATTTTTCAATCAATGAGGGAGACAGACAATATACAAATAAATATACATTGTAATGTCAGGTAGTGATAAGTCATGTAAGAAACAAATAAAGCATGGCAAAGGGATAGAAGTGGATGGAGGCTACTTTTAAAAGGGTGGTCCCAGAAAACTTCTCTAAGGAGATGACATTTGAGCAAAGACTTGAACAAAGTGAAGGAGAAAACCAAGCAGGTACGTAAGAAGAGTAATAATGGTAGAAGGAAGAGTAATAATAGCAAAGGGCCCTAAGATGCGATACCATTGGAGGGTTTTGAGCAGAGGAGTCACATGATCTGAATAATTATTCTAAAGGATCACTTTGGCTGCTGTATGGAGAACATACATCATAGGGGCCAAGGGTGACAACAGGGAGATCATAGGAGCAGTAACCAGTTAGAAGGAAAAGTAGAAATCTCATTTAAAATAAGATAGAATACCAAGAAATAAACTTACTAAAGTCTATATAAAAAATATATTACCCAAGCGATGCAAAAGATCTTGAATAAACAAAAAGGCATACTGTATTCCTGAACAGTTATAGACTCAATGTTTTTTTTTGTTTTTTTGGGTTTTTTTTAGCAGAGCCATCCTGCTACCTGTTGGCAGCTCAGCGGCTGCTCAGCTCGGGCTGGACTCGAACCACTGTTGCTCAGAGCTCAAACTCTTGAGCGAGCTCTTAACCAACTGAGCCACTCATAGACTCAATGTTTTAAAGATGGCTATTTTACCTATGATAATATGCACATTTCACAGATTTCCAGTGCAACTCCAAAAGAACCGTTTTTAAACTAGATAAACTAGTTCTAAGTTCATATGAGAAGAAATCGGTCCTCAGGGAAATTCTGAAAAAAATCCTAATAAGAGGATGTTATGCCTATAGTATCAGACTTAAAAAACAAACAAACAAACAAAAGAAAAGTATTACAAAATCTCAATAATTAAAACAGTATGGAACTGGCACATGCATGACAGATCAGATCAGTGGACCAGAACTGAAAGTTCAGAAATAGTCCCATAGGTATATGAAAATGTACCATATGACGAAGGTGACAAATCAGTAAGGAAATATGGATTATTTAATAAATAGTATTGGAACAACCAGGTAACCACCTGGAAAAATACAGTTGGATCCATATCTTCTTATACCAAGATAAATTCCAAGTGGACCAAAAATTTAAATGTAAAAATTATGTTTTAGAGATAATTTGTCATTGCTTTCACTTACTTTTTCATTTACTGTAGTTTTTGTAGAATAAACAAAAAGGCTTCCACTGGATCTGAGGTAACATTCAGCTTCCAGAGAAGAACCATCAGAGTAAAAGGGGATTTACTGGGTCCTCTCCCAGGACTCTGTACCAAGCTTTGACAAAAGACAAAGAAAAAGTCCTAAAGAAGGAGGAAATTGATCAAATAGATGAAGGTGCAGACACTCAGTAATTATTTAGCATCTATTTTTCTAAATGAAGTCATCTGAGGATGAATTTTGAAAAGCAGTCGTTAAGCTTTGTTAATAGTTCTTCAAACTTTCCTTTCCCCACTAGACACAGACATTGAATTGTACCACACACTCTCTCAGTAAAACAAAAGTATTTCTTTCAACTATTTCTGCTCTAAACACAGGATCTGTAAGACTCCAACTGCTTCTGGGCAGCTGTATTTACTGGTTCTGAAATCATGGAGTTCACAGTGACTTTTCAGCGTTTTAAAACTACCACCACAGAACTCATTCTAGATTCAAACTCTAGTGGCAAAGCAGTGGGCCTCAAGGTGACCTCTTAAAAACAAGTGGTCAGATTGATTTGAGCATTTGCTGTACATAAATGTCTGTCTGAGGGGCATGAAAGCAGTATGTTGTCACACTTCATTTACCAATTCTCGGTGTTTTTCTGTGTCCCCGGTAACTGTGATCCATTTCAAGGTTAGGTGATTTGAAAAAGGTGATTTTTGAGTAGGCACAACGAGCCCTATTCATAGACTAATGTTGAATAATTCTAACTTTTCTAAGAATAGCTGCTCTCTTGAGAACCCTGAGTTATATTACATATGTCCCCCGAATTATCTTCCAAATTAACCTTGCCATGGAGAAAGCTTATGTGGAAGTAAAACCTCAAATACAACATATCTTGTATAACGTGATTCCCTATTTACAACCTCATACATAGATTCCTACTCATCAATAATATTTCCCCAAACATAATAACAACATATAAGGCAAAGTCGTATTCGCGAGCAGTATTTCCGTGTTAGTTCTCGCCCCAAACATCAATTAATAGATTGTTTGTTTTATACCCATTTACATCTGAAGCATTTCCACATAAAAAATTTTGCAGAAAAGCTCACTCTACAAAATAGATAAAAGTAGGGGGCTGCTCTGATGAAGGACATAAGTCCTCCTGCTCCCCGCTGTCAGCGAATCGCCAGCTCCCCACACAGCAGCCACAGATGACCTTTTGTAGATGCCCTTGGACTTCACAGAGCTCAGGCTGCCACCACTGCTCTATAGTATTTCTTGCAACCAAATTCTGTATGAGAACTATACTGCAGAGTTTAAAGGTAAATGCTCTGCTGGGGACCTGAAATACAGAAATTCTGTATGACAAGTGAAAGCAGGTCTACCTTTCAATAATCAAGGACACCTAAGCTAACCCTGTATAACAGAGTCAGAAGCCTGAATAAAAGGCCAGCCCGCTTTCATTTCAGAGGTGGACCAACCTGAAAACCTCAGAATGTTTTATGTATATAAACATACATATGCATACAGGTACACACCCAAATGCACATTTTCTTTTGAATAAAGCAAGACATAATACTTAGGTACGTAGTCAACGTGCCCCAGAATGAGTGAAGTTTTTCTGCATTAATCTCTTCCTTTTCATTAGGTCGATGACAGCATTCAAAGGAGACAGCAAAGTTATGAAATTATTTGCAAAACACATAAAGGTAAGCAGAGGGCCTGTGGTTTCTGATGGGGGGTGTGAATGGTCCTGAAAGACCACGCCCAGACCTCAGCTTTTTCCCTTCAACCTCTTCTTGTCTCCTTAGCAGGTGTTTTCTTGGGTGCTTCCCTATCTGACACCTTTAACAACGCTTCTGGTTTTCTTTGTGTTCCCTGCCTCTCTGCATGCCCACCTTTCCCCACAGCAGTCACTGCTCCTTCGAGCTCCAGGGTTCCTGCACAGAAACTTGAGGTCTGACCCCTGGGCTCTTTGAAGATTTACCAATTTTCTTTTCTATCTTCATGTGAACCTTCTTTACCCTAGAAATTGACCAGAAATAAGGGTAACCCCATTTGCTTTTTAGCTTTCTTAACTTTTAGATAAAATGCTCTAACTTGGCCTATGACTGTACTTTGTAGTGACTCTTTGAAAAGAGTTCCGGAGCCAGTTTTCAACATGGGGAGGGGGTGCTTACCCACACATCCAAGCCATGCCCCAGATACTAACTTGATGTCCTACAGTTTAACTCAATTCTGGCATTATCTACCTGGAAATAGCATCATATTCCAAAGGTAAAGGTTTCAGTCCTGCAAGACTACACACATACCCCCTCCCCTCAACTTCAGACACCAGTCACATGACCAGGCTGTTACCGGTACTTATGACCAAATGGCTATAAATCACAGGTTCCCTAAACCCCCTCCTCGGATTCAATTAATTTGCTAGAGCAGCTCATAGAACTCAGAGAAACATTTTACTTACTAGATCACCAGTTCGTTATAAAGATATAATTCAGGAATAGCCAGACAGAAGAGATGCACAGGGCAAGGTGTGGGGAAAGGGTGTGGAGCTTCTGTGCCCTCTCCAGGCACACCACTCTCCCGCATCTTCACATGTTCACCAACCCAGAAGTTCTTCGAACCGCTTCCTCTTCTTGGGTTTTTATGAAGGCTTCATTGCATTAGCATGATTGATCAAATCATTGGACATTGGCAATTGATTCAACCTCTAGCTCCTGTCCCCTCCCTGGATGTTGGGGGTAGGACTGAAAGGTCCAACCCTACAATCATAAGATTAGTTCTCTGGGCAACCAGCCCCTACCCTCAGGTACTTCCAAAAGTCATCCCATTCATGTCACAAAAGATACCTTTATCATCCTGAACACTTAGGAAATTCCAAAACCTGGGGGAGCTGTGAGTCAGGAACTGTAGGAGAAGACCACATATGTATGAGAAATACATTATGGTTGTCTGAATGGCCAAATATATATTTCTTATAAATCTCAATGTCACACTTTTCTTTATTCTCTTCCATCTTGGAATAGGTCCAGAAGCAGGTAAAGTTGCTGGAGAAGCGTGCCGTGCACCTGGGTGTAGGAACTCCAGGGAGGATTAAAGAGCTTGTTAAACAAGGTATGAAAAGGTGCAGTGGCACTTCTACTTAGAGCTGGGAGTTTGCCTTACTCCCATGAGCTTGGGAAACCACACGTGTGATGCAGTGAAACCAGACCTCTGTATTAATTCAGAAGTTGGAAACAGCCTTTAGTCTCTAAAGTCAGCCAGCAGGAATAATGAAATAGGAAATGATAAGGACTGTGGCAAATGTATTTAGGTACTGTGCCCACCTAAATACATTCAGATTTCGATTGTTTTACGCAGGTTAATGGATCCACAATTAATTCCATCAATTTGCACCCTCTGGAATTTGTAGAGCTGGATGTGTTGAGTATTTCCCTCTTTTGTAATTGATACTTGGTTCCCCACTTAAGGGCTGGTATATAAAACATGCTGAAACAAAAATGTAGCTGCTATAGATGAAATACTGGCATTCTACATATTTCTCCAAATGCATTTCTCTCTTTTTTTTAAAAGATTTTATTGGGGAATTGGGGGAAGGGAACAGCGTTGGGGAATTGGGGAAGGGGAACAGACAAGTTGCTGTCCTTTTGTTCTTCAGTCTAGTTGTGGAGGACGTCACTTCACTGGCCCATGTTGGTATTGTGATCATTGTGCTTTTCCCAGATGAGGCAATCACTCGTCGGCCACTGGATGGCCGCTCATGGTGGCTCATGGCAGCTCACAAAAGTTCACACCCACTGCCGGCCAGCTCCACTGCAGCCTATGCCATCACTGGCAACTCAGGGCAGCCCAGCTCCAGGTCGAGCTATTGTTCACCATCTTAGCTGTAGAGGGCACAGTGTCACTGGCCCTCATGTGGGATCCGAACCGGGGCCCTGCTGCTCAGAGCTGGCATCCCAAGCCAACTCCTAACCAACGCACCACTCGGCCGGCCCCACTGGTGGATTTTTATAATTTGTTGACTTTCTCAAAGGCAGTAAGTAGCCTAAAAACCCACCAACCTGCTGATGATCTGATTACCTGTTCCACCTGCCAGACAAATTAAAGATTTCTTGTCAATATTCATTTCCAAATTATTTCTTTAGTATAATAATAGAACACTGTTTTGTAACTGTCTGGATCTATTCCTGGATTTTTTATATATCCAAAAGTAATATGTTCATCAGTATAGCTATGGTCATTTGTCAGGAAGCAAATGAAAAATAAAAATACTAGTGTTTTCTCTCCGTATCAAAGCCATCCAGGTTTAAACAAACCCACTATATACAGAGTTCTGTGCAATTACAAGTAATAAAGTTGGAGTACCCAGATGAAGACGGGAAACCAATATTTTCTGAGTCTCTATTTGTACTTAGTGCTATGCTAGACATGCTACATGTCTCATTTAGGACTCACATCATTCTTGCAGGCTGCATTCTTATTTCTTATGAGAGAAAACTAAAGCTCACAAGGGTTAAGTGGCTTTCCCAGGGTTTCTTAGTCTAGGCCTTCCTGGTTTTTGAGCCTTTCCCAGTTAAGAGCTCCTGATCCAATGAAAAAGATAAATACATGTGGAAGGAGACTGACAACACGAGGCAGTAAGTGCCAGGGGCCATGTGAGCACTTCCAAGTCCTAGAGGAGTTGAAATGAGGGAGAGATGGATGTGGCTGAATCTGCAGGGAAGGCTTTACAGAGGAGAGTCTTTAACTGATCTTTGGAAGATGGGAGGATTAAGATAGGATCTTTGAAGTATGGAGATGTGAGAATAGCTGTCATAATGGGAGAACAGCTGAATCAGAGGAGGATTGGCAGATACACGTGGCATATCTGCAGGAGGTGGTAAGTAGGCAATACCATGTTGAGGTTGAGCCCATGTTATGGTCTCAGACCTCCGGATTCAAACCCCAGGTCCAGCAACTCACCATACCAGCTCTGTGACCTTGGCAACTTAACTTAACTTTTCTACATCTGTTTCTTTATCTGAATGACCGAGATAGTAATACTACCTTTCTCAAAGGACTGTTATGAAAATTAAATGCCAATAAAGAGCTGTGTCATACCTTAAGAACTCAACAAATACTAGTTGTTATTTTTACTAGAGAGACCACCTTTCTTAGTCAGAGACTTCGTGGGCTGTAGTAGCTAGTGATTCAATTGGAAAGAAAGATTGAGGAAGGAGGATCTTGGACAGTAAACTGAGGAGTTTGGATTTTTGTCTCATGGACATAGGAGGGCAATAAAAGTGAAGGAACAAGTGAGAGGTGCTCATAGTCTATTTGTGAGACACAAAGTTGGGAGAGATTGGCTGGGCAACAGGAGGCCAAGGATAGACTCTGCCTCTCCCACAGCTCTTAGCCAAAGACTCACCTCTCCCTTTCCTGGAATACACAGTTTGTGTGTGTATCACCAGGCCCCCATACAACAGGGCCACGCTTCTCCATATTTATAAGAAAGGGAGAGAGAAAAAAATGAAGCTGTACATATTGTTGAAATTAGATTTCTACAGAGTTGTAAGAACTCAGTGTGAAAGCATATTTCATTTAAGAAGTGGGAAAATCATTTAAGGAACTGTTGATTTTTTATAATACTAATGAAAATAACTTTTATTTCTGATTCGGATTGGATGAAGGATTTAATATTCATTAACCACAGGTATAAGGCTACATACAAAATGTTCAAAGAGAACAATTCTAGCACACTAGATAGAAACTGAAAATCTAACAAAGTCAGACATATGGCACATAACTCATTTTATTATACATAACTCATTATTATATATTAAAGAGAGTTTCCAGATGTTTATATATCTCTTTGGGCAAGGGGAACAAAAGAAAAAATTAATGGGACTACATTAAACTAAAAATTTGTTTATTTTTTCTTTTGTCTCCTTTGCTCAAGGAGATAATACATACATACATATATACACACACACACACACACACACACACACACACATACACACATATATGTATTACAAGCAATGTCAGAGAGTTTACTGCCTATGTTTTCTTCTAGGAGTTTTTTGGTTTGGGGTTTTATATTAAAGTCTTTAATCTATTTTGAGTTTATTCTTGTATATGGTGTAAAAAGGTGCTCTGGGGCCGGCCGAGTGGCATGTTGGTTAAGAACTGGCTTGGAACGCCAGAGGGCCCTGGTTCGGATCCTACATATGAGGGCCAGTGACACTGCCCTCCACAGCTAAGATGCTGAACAACAGCTCAACCTGGAGCTGGGCTGCCATGAGTCGCCAGCGACAGCATAGGCTGCAGCCCCTGTGGCAGTGGGTTGCCATGGGCTACCGTGTGTAACCAGCAGCCAGTGTGAGCAGCCAGCAGCCGGCGACTGATCTGCCTCACCCGGGAAGAGAGCAATAATGGTGCCAACTTGGGCCAATGAAGCAACGTCCTCCACAACTAGACTGAAGAACAAAAAGACAGCAACTTGTCTGTTCCCCTTCCCCCCAATTCCCCAATAAAAAGTCTTTTAAAAAAAAAGGTGCTCTGGTTTCACTTTTTTTTTTTCATGAATCTGTCCAGTTTATTTATTGAACGACTGTCTTTATCCCCATTATATATGCTTGCCTCCTTTGTCAAATTAATTGACCATATAAGTATAGATTTATTTCTGGACTCTCTATTCTGTTCCATTGATATATTTGTCTGCTTTTATGCCAGTTCCATGCTGCTTTGATTATGATAGCTTTGTAGTATAGTTGGATATCAGGTAGCATGATACCCCCACCTTTGTTCTTCTTTCTCAAGTTTGCTGTGGCTGTTCAGGGTCTTTTGTGTTTCCATATAAATTTTGGGGTTATTTGTTCTAGTTCTGTGAAAAATGCCATTGATATTTTGATAGGGATTGCTTTGTAGCTATAGATTGCTTTGGGTAGTATGGAGATTTTAACAGTAAATTATTCCTATCCATGAGCATGGTATATGCTCCCGTTTATTTTTATCTTCATTTTCTTTCTTCAATGTCATAATTTTCTGAGTACAGGTCTTTTACCTCTTTGGTTCAATTTATTTCTAGGTGTTTTTTGGTACAATTGTAAATGGGATTGATTTCTTAATTTCTCTGATAGTTCATTATTAGTGCATAAAAATGCAACCAAGGGGCCAGCCAAGTGGCTTAGTTGGTTAAGAGTGCGAGCTCTGAGCAACAGCATCGCCCGTTCGATTCCCACATGGGCCAATGAGCTGCGCCCAAGCTGAGCTGTCACTGAGCTGCCAACAGGTGGCAGGATGGCTCAGCTGGTGAGAGCATGTGCTCCTAACAACATGGTTGCCGGTTCACTCCTGCATGGGATGGTGGGCTATGCCCACCTGCAACTAAGATTGAACACGGCACCTTAAGCTGAGTGGCCGCGAGCTGCCGACGGGCAGCTGGATGGCAACTGGACTTGGAGCTGAGCTAGCTGCACACTCCACAACTAAGATTGAAGGACAACAACTTGGCTGTTCCCCTTCCCCAATTTCCCAATAAAATCTTTATAAAAAAACATGCAACCAATTTCTGAATATTAGTTTTGTATCCTGCTATTTTACTGAATTCATTTATCAGTTCTAATACTTTTTTGGTAGATCTTTAGGTGCTAATTCCTCTTTAAACACTTGGTAAAATTCATCTGTGAAACCATCTGGTCCAGGACTTTTGTTTTTTGGGAATTCTTTAATTACTGATTCAATTTTGTTAATAGTTATCAGTCTATTCAGATTTTCTGTTTCTTCTTGATTCAGTCTTGGAAGACTGTATTTTTCTTGGAATTTATTCATTTCTTCCTGAATGTCCAATTTGTTGGTATATAATGTTTGTAGTATTTTCATATAATCCTTTGTGTTTCTGTGGTGCCAGTTGTCACTTCTCCTGTTTCATTTCTGATTTTGTTTATTTGGGTCCTCTCTCTTTTTTTCTCGGTGAATCTGGTTAAAGGTTTATCAATTTTGTTTATCTTTTCAAAGAACCAGCTCTTGATTTCATTGATCTTTTGTATTGCTTTCTAGATTCTATTTGGTTTATGTCTGCTCTGATCTATATTATTTTCTTCCTTCTACTAACTTTAGGCTTTGTTCTTTTC